TGTTTGTTATTAGTCACTCGCATCCAGCTCCTGCCAGCCGTCTTGCGCAAAACGTCAATCCACCTGGCCTGTGGGCGTCCTACACTACGTTTGCCGAGACGCGAGTCTCCACTCAAGAACTCGTTTTCCCCAACGGTTATCGGTTCTGCGGCTAATATGGCCAGCCCACTGCCACTTCAGCTTGCTGATCCGAGAAGCCCAAAATCGATCTAAGTGGCGTGCAATGGGAGAGGCCTATGTCCAGCAGTGGACTGCAATAGGCTGATGATGATGATGATTGGTCACTCACTCATAAAGACATAGTAATAAGCTACAGAATAGTAACTGATCCATGTATAATATATCTACCTAGCGCTATAGAACAGCTATGTATTGAGAGACCTAAAACAAATTAAAACATTTCTACCTTACTAGGTTTTTACTAAACTTAAAGAAATAGCTACATAGACATTCTAACGAGTACTTCTTCTTCTTTGCTTGGCCCTTTCCCATTTTATTTTGGGAAGCCCTCCGTATCATGTGTCTCCAGGCAGCTCGGTCCTGGGTCGTCTTTTTTTTACTTCGGCTTCTTTGACGTTCTTATTTACTACGGTCATCCATGTGATTAGTTCGTTTCGATATCTAGCACTTTTCTAGTCATGTGGTCAAATGGTTGCCTCACAACGTGTCCGTATCACCGCAGACGGCTCTCCTGTAGTTTATCTGGGATAGGTCTCACTTTGAAGGTGCCTCTTATGTGTGTGTTTCTGGCATGATCCAGCCCAATTACACCACCTGAGGATCTTCATCTCTGCGCAGTATAATTGATTTTCGTTCTGCTTTTTGTGTAGCCAGCATTCGGCTCCGTATGTCATGGCCGGTCGGACATTAAAACTAATAAAATTTATAAAATTTACTTACCCAGAGTTCTTTATTTTTTCGATATTCGATAACACATGTTTCCCTTAGTATAATTTGTATTAATACCAATATTTATTAGAAAATATTAACAATCGTATACTCAAATGCGTCATTAAAAGCTCTTATTGAAAATATTTAATTTGATTCAGTCGTTCTCAGAGACGCTGTAACAAAATTAGTTATTGGCATGAAACCGCTTGTCACGATCACTTTATGATGCTAATATTCAAATTATTGTAATGGTCTCATTTACATAATAAGAGACAGCAAGAAGTTGTCTTGGGAATTCTTTTCGGCTCTCTAAAACTTTCGTCTGAGCTTTCTTGCACTAGGCACGAGGTTGGAATTTAAAATGAGTATTGAGCTTTTCTATTTTAGGTAACAGATTTTGTTTTTAATATTATACAACGCGATATAGAGTCTTAAGTTTCAAGTTTTATTACAACGTGATAGTTAAAGATTTTGAAAGTTTATTAATTGAAATTGAAAACAATAGTATTTCCTAATCTTTAAATGCTTACTTTGACGACGCAATAAACTTTAGCCTTGGAAGGTCATGACAACGTTGTGGTCATTATCCTTAATGTAATCTGAATATCTATTTCAATAAGTAGCTCGCATTATTCTAACTATCTAAAATTACATTTTGTTACTGTAACTGCTAAATCTCTGGCTGAAATATCTTATTCACAGAACAATAACGACACTTAAATGGACTTTTCAATTTTGGCAATCAATTCACGTTTCCCAAGAAAACTGTTCTTTGTTTTTTAATCAAAGTATTCGATGTCTTTTATTAACCACTAACGACGCTTGTGCAAAACTTCGTAATGATCGATTGAGCACTTTAGGTGTAAAATATATGTAATAAATTTGACAGGCGACCTACAGATTATTTTTGGAGGCAACAGTAGTAATAAAGAAGTTTGAAAATTGACTTGACTTGATTGACACTAAACACAAGCTGGCGAGTGATAACAGCTGCAGTTTCAACCTACTGACACCTTGTACGTTTGTTGTTTGTTGAGTCTTTCAATTGAAAGAGTCTTCGAGCATTGTCTATACAAATAAATAAAATTGGAGTGTCTGTTTGTAATATTAAAATAACCGCTTTTTACTAAATGCATATGTATGTTTACACGGTACATATGGCCAAATAACATTTTTTTAAATTTTTGTCTGTCTGTCTGTTTGTTCCGGGTAATCTCTGGAACGGTTGGACCGATTTCGACGGGACTTTACTGGCAGATAGCTGATGAGATAAGGATAAGGAAGGGTAACTTAGGCATTTTTTTAGACTGGCTTCGCCCCGCGGCGTGGCCCGCGGTTATAACAACAAACGCGGGTAACACCGCGGGTCTCAGCTAGTTACTTAATATTTAAAATACCTACCTATACCCCGTTTCCGTTTTCGTATACTAAACTTACTCAAAAACTACGCGCAACTCTAAACATGGATGCCGCTGATGTGCTCTATAGAGGAGATGATACTATATTTTTTTTTGTTAAAGACAACTCCTGCTTTAGAATGTATCCTGTTTCGCGGGGGACTTTACAAACATACATGAAACGGACACAAAGAACAGCCAGACTCAGAACAACAATTTGTGGATCACACAAAGTGTCATCCCATGTGGGGATCGAATCCACAACACTCAGCGTAGTAGAAACCGGCGTGGCGATCGCTTAAACCACTACGCCATCCGTGCAGTCATTAAATAATAAATTTATTGTCATAGAAATTTATACATCAGGGAAGCAGTAAAATAGAATTAATATTAGATATCTTTGGGACAGCTAGACCGAGCCTGTGTCTCCGATGCTAGTTTCTTCTGAAGACATTATAAATGCATTTTATAACTTACAATTATTATAATATACAGGTGGACATTTTATATTTTTTACAATTTACAATGTATGTGAGTACTTGGAGAAGTAGACACAATTATGTTATAATTTAACACTGACCCTTAAATTACATTTGTATTGTTGACAGTTTTGTACACGAGTAGTTGACGTCACTATTACTATGCGAAATGTTCGCAACAATTATTCACATGCCAACTGGATAAGAAAGAAATTCTCTCTACAAAAAATTGATATTCTTTATTGTGGATCTTTTTATTGAGGCAGACAGTTCCCGAGTGGTTACAGGCCTAGTGTAACTGTCGATAGTTGTCAAATATTCTTTTCGGCGGTGCTAAGATTCTTAATTTTTTTTTTCGTAGTGTTTTTTCATGCGTAGTAATGCAACGACCTGTAATGCTTCTGTTAAAACTCTTCTCAAGAAGTTCTGAATGTTTATCGATAAAGGGTATTAAAAAGAACGGTATCGACCGAATTTGTGAAGGGAAAAGATAAGAGAGGTCGTTCTGGAATGCTATCTGGTCTCTATGGAATCCATTTGTATAGCCAGCACTTTTTCAAACCTTCTTTATGAAACATTATGCTTAGAGACGAAAATTGATTCATCAATGTCATAAAATTAGTATCGAATAGATTATTTTTGCATTATGTAGATTTTGTTTCCATCTTTATGACTTAAAGATAAAACATTTTAATAAGATAAAACGAAGATAAAACGATCCTAGTTAGTTAGATAACAACTGGACTACACTACTACTGATGAACTTGTGGTGAGAAGAGTTTATGTGGTTTAGCTGTCAGAATCCTGAGCCGGTCTGACTGAGAAATGTATGTGTAGATATGCTAGATGGAAGATACCTCCCATTTATATTTGATCTATTTAAAACTATATAGCTTTAGATCGAATTTAATTTTAAAATATTTATGTATTTTCTTTTCTTTTCTATTCTTTAGTTCCACTTATAATCGTAACAAATAACAATCTCCGAACACTACATTGCGGTCAAGGGTCATTCGGCAAATACGAGTAATGATTGATGTACTGCGTCGTGTAAGTGACACGGTTATTACCTAAATGAGTTTTATCCAGTAATGGATTTGTAATACATTACTTACAGAGTATACCATTAAAGATAGATTGGTATGAATTGGTGTCGAAATAAATAGAACGATGAAATCTAAATTTACAGTAGCTTCACATAATCTATGACGCTTCACATAATCATAATCTATGACGCCCAAATGATATTTTATTATAATATACGGTTGATATTATGTTCTGCAGTACGTACGTGCGTACTTACATATTAAATATTATGATCTAGACTATTAGAAAACATTAGTCGTAAAAACCTATTTTCTTATATTAAGTTTATTAATAAAACTATTTATAATGCAAGTATTAGGCATGTTATGTTAACTGCCTAAATGCCCTTAATCTTAAGTGACGTTACCAAAAAGTAGGCCAAAGAAAATTTCACAATGCAATTTTTGTATTCTAGATTTCTTTAACTACGCTACTGTCATTAATAACATAGCATGCTTCTTTCATAACAATCAAACATAAAAAAATACAGTAAGAATTACATAATGAGAAAAAATGACAAAATATTTATCTCTGGATATTTTGCATGTATACATGAAGATAATTGTCTGTTTCATTGTTGTTATTTTCAATACTTGGTATTGAAAATAACATCAAAGAAACAGAAAGTGTAAAAATGTGTAGTAATTTACAAATATACATAGGTAAGTACCACATACTAGGCATGGAATAAAATCACAACCACAGGTGATTTATCATATTATTTTAAAATCATTTCATCACACCTGTGACTGATTTACAACATCACTGTGTCTTATTACGACCAAATCTAAGTTGTGATTTATCACAGTTGAAATTACAGTGGCCGAAAACAATAATTTCATCAAATGAATATGGTTTAGAAGTAGCAATAATTTCCATTTCGACCACATACGTACACTCGAAAACTATAACTCTGGCCTGATTTATTTTTACCCGACTGCTGACTGTGAACATGCTGTAATTTTTTTTTACATATATCACCATACAGATTTATCAAAATATTAGATACGCGCGGCACCACGGGCATAGCCAATTATAAAGATAAATTCGCTGGGTTATCTTTATTGTACACGTTAAAACGATTTTACGTATAAATGAGGTATCACACGATTTTTTCCCCATTAGCATTTATTACCGAACAGTCGTCATGATTGCTAAAATAAGTGTCTCAGTAGTTTTTGTTTTGAGTGCACTTTTCGTGGTTAATGCGCTGAGTGCTTTTGATCAGCAACTATTGGAAGATGTGTTGGACCCTGTAAAGTGCGCTGAACAACTACAAACTTTGAAAGCAAACCCTTCTCTTCTTTTTCAGTGTAAGTACAAAGTAGTTTTTTTATCTGTTTTGTTAGTTGTGCAGTCTGTTTTTTTTTTTTTTTTTTTTTTTTATCGAAATAGTTTTCGTTAGCTGAGCATATTAAAACAGTAGATATGTGTATCATCAAAAAGTTTACAGTGATTACTCTTTTGATGACGTAGATAAAATATTTGTGATGAAAACCAGTTCCACATTTCACAGTTTCGATCTGTACATGTCTCGGTAATTGATTAGAAAAAAACTCAAATATTCGGTCAAAAATACCAATATCAAATACGTATTGCTGTATAAGTTTAAGTTTTGGAACTTAACTAAAATCATAAATAATACATAGGCTGGAGAATATCTTCAACCCACAACTGTAGGAACACTGTGAGGAAAGCTCGATCAAGCAGAAGATCAAATGCTGCAAAATGACGTATTGGCCACACTCTCTGAAAGGACTCCGATTTCATACCCAAGCTGGATTGGAAGTACTGGAGGACCATTGGAAAAACGCAAGCGGCGCAAAAACGCATCGACAAGATTTGGATCGAAGTTAAGCACGAGGCTCGAAATCTATTGAGATGGATACATGCTGTGGATGTCCTCTGCGTATTCGGGGGACATAAGACGTTAAAGAAGATTAGTTAGATGTTAATTTTTTATTTTATAGGGGTCAACTGAGTGACTACCAACGCCCATGGCATGAGAGTTGCCAACCTGGGTTTGGTTGGTTGGGACGGCGTACCTTACTGACTCGATAAAAGCAACTAAATAATTGCTTAACTTCATGCGCCTACATCATGATGCATTGTTATAAAATCTACTGTTTGTAACTGATCAAACGAAAAGTGGTATACTTCCATCTCTGTCTCTCTCTTTAGTCAAAAAAAGAACTTTCTGATTCGATTCGTAAATGATGAAGTTTTTATATAACAAACATAACAAGGATTAAGAATACAGAGTATCGCCACCCCTATCCATCCTGCGGGTGTCGTAAGCGACTAAGTTAGTAAACTACGCAGGACAACAGCACTACAAAGAGAAGGAAAACTTGAAACAAACCCTATACCGACCGGTCTGACAAGCATGGTATAGTAGGCCAAAACCTCCTATGTCCAGCAGTGAACGAGTAAAGGCTGTTGAATCAACAGCCTTTACTCGTTCACTGCAGGACACAGGTAAACAGGAGGCAGTTTTCAATTCATCATTATCATCAACAGTGTTGATGATGATGATGAATTGAAAACTTCCTCCTGTTTTGAAGTCGGCAGGCGGCAACGCTACATTCTCAATAAATGTATTACTTATAGTAACATCACATTCGATTCCATCCCCCGATCCATGTGGTGACGGATTAATACGGTGTGTCAAAACCCCTATTCATCCTGTAGGTATCGTAAGAGCCGACTGAGGGAGCACCTTACGCAGGACAAAAGTACTCGTACTGCAAAGACTTTTCTTTAGTGATGTGTAAAACTTGAAACAACCACTATACCATCGTTTGGCCAGAGTGGTTTAGAAGGAAAAAAACTCCTCAGGCTATTGGTGATGATGACTCGATTCCGTTAAAATTGCCACCGACATCATAAATTACTTATATCATGATATACTTTCCTATCATTCATCATATCATATCCACCAGTATTGTTATTTTTAGCAATCTGATAAAGCTAATTGACAATAAAAAATTACTTGATCACTGAAAGTAACCTTTATTACATTCGATTAAACCTAATATTTTAATGCTCACACTACTAGTCAAGCTTACATTCGTTTTAGCTCTTATTGTCAGAAGCCAGGAATAATGTTTATACTAATATTGAAACTTATATCGTATAACGCGCTATCCATGCCAGCACCATAACTTGTGGGCTCTAAAACACAGATAAGACGTGAAACACTCAAACAAGTATTTGTACTGAATGGGAATTGGACTCGCGCCCTTTTAAATTACAATAAATTCGACTTTTTTATAAATAATAAACCATTTAAATGGCCCATGACCACTCATTTGCAATTTACAGATAGATACAATGGCATTATTAAATATGCCACAATATTGTTTTGGTGTGTGCTAGTATGTCCGTTATTAAGGACTAAAAGGTAAAAAGACAATGAAGAGTAAACAAGATTCAGAAAAAATAATGAATAAAAGAGAAAATGAAGTGAAACATAAAAATATAAAAAAAAAATATATACTAAAAAAACACATTATCCCACACCACATTTTTACTTAAGAAATAGCCTGCGCTAATTAATCCCAAGCATTTTTTGCATATCATTAACATGAATATTTTAGGAAATATTAGTGGTTTAAAATTCTGGGACAAAGCCGCCATCGCCACTTCGAGTCGTACGTCTGTCGCGGACTGCAGCAGCCGGCAGGATTGGAGGGGGGCCTATAAATATTGTATATAAAGATGTCTTGTAGTAAAGTCCTATCACAATATTACTATAATTATTTACTCCACACTGACACCACATTAGTTATATCTACATTGCACAAGTGCAAAAAATATATTACGAAACAGGCGTGTTTTTATTGTGTAATCAATATAAGTCACTATAATGTATAGATTGTAATTCTTGTACCGATGATAAATTAACTTATCAGGATATTATTAGCCTCATGATTCAGTTGTATGACAATATTATATACAGTGCTATATTTAAAAAAATAATAACACGTTAATCAAATTTTGCAATATTTCACTTTCTTTGAATGAGACTTTCGTTGAGGTTCTCTTGCATCTCGACCAGAGTTGGTTCTACACTCTGATCGAGATGCAAGAGAGATCTCTGATCGACTTCTTTTAATGTCTTTGTCATACTCTCATGTTTCTCGATTAACAGTTATATATTTAAAATGCTTATCAAGTCAAGCATTTTTAGTGACTTTTTACACACTGTTTTAGTGCACATTATTAATATACACATAACAACGCACAATAGAAATAGACATTTTCCAACTGTGCAGTTGAAATTCATTTCAACATATTCAAAGTAAGAACACGTGTATGTGAAAGAAATGGAATGTATGTGGAAGAAATGAATGAATGGAATGCATATTCAGAGTAAGAAAGCTTAGGCTAAAGATTTATGTACACTGGGTATTTAGGAAATTAGAAAAACTCTACATAGATTAACATTTATAGTGAAGTTTATTTAGCTCAAAAATACCTACCGAACGATGTATCACACGTGACTTATTGTGTGGGTGGGTGTTATCAGGATTTACTTGTACATCCTCCTTAAAAAAATACACCAATTATATGAGATATATTTACTACTATGTGGCCATGTATTGTTTACGAATACCTGTCGAAAAATGTTTTGCTTTTGAGCCTTTTTAATATGTCTCTAATCTGTAAATTATTTGTTACAGTCTTTGACGCCAGTGGCAAAATACCTAATGGTATAAGCGGAGGAAACTTAAATGATCTTGGGGACTACTTTCAATGCTTAGCTATTAACCAAGACGTAGGCCAACAAAAAATCCATGGTAAATATTGCATGGTCGGGGTCCCCATGGGGGATTTATCAGTTCTTCCACTTTGGCCGGCATTTACAGGGCCCTGGAACGTTAATAACATCAATTTTCCAGACGATGTTCATTTAAAGAGTTATGTTCAGCAAATTGCTAATTTTACGGGGTCTGTTGGTAGAGGGTAAGCTAAATTTACACTTTTACCTTAGTATCATAGTATTAGCCTTAATTTAACATGACTCTATCCTTAAATAAATTGTCTTGTAAAGAGTTGGCTATTGTTGAAATTCGAAGAAGAAAGCAATAACTTCAATTTTCAATTTGATCTATAACTTCGTTCACCTCTGCTTACATTTTCAAGGATACAGACGTGTGTGTACATAGATGTATTATATACTATTGTATAATACATACATATTGACATATTAGACATATTTATATATATATATATATATATATATAAATATGTCTCAGACCTGCTTCTGCAAGAGTAACGATCAGCCAGAACCGTTACCCTTAGGTCGAAGATCGTTTTGGCCCAACACCATCTCCTTAGAAAACAAAAAAAGCATCTAACTTTGGACCATGTATAGAACCATGGTCTCTTGCGAGAGGCTATTTACCTTTACCTTGGTATCGTTATTTTAGCCCTGAATTAACTTGACTATATCTTTAAATAATATATCTCAAAGGAGAGCCTTTGAAAGATATTTTATTTAAGGGTACAGTCAGGATTGATAAAATTCCAAGACAAAAGTAATAACCGCAATTTTCAGTTTGATCTATTTCTTCGTTCGCTTACCTTCCCAAAAATACAGCATGTGTACATTGATTTATTATAAACCTTTATGTATTTTTAATTTTTCAGAAATAATAATAATACCTTGAACCCCAGATTTTCAATAGCCCTTTGCATCCCCAAGGTGTGCACTGTTAATGATACAGATGATATTGCCATTCCCTCTTTCATAGATTATAATGTAAATTTCTGCCGACTACCGAATGACAAACCATTTGCTGCTGCTGATTATACTGCTTTGTAAGTAATTTATATCATTTAAGAAATAATTTTAATTTACTTTAACGTTTAAGTAAAACAATTTGAAGTTATTTTGTGTCCTCATTACGATTTCACTTTCAATTCTTGTTTATCAAGCGAGGCAAGTCAGTATTTTACTTCTGTCGGAGGTAGCCACACTATCGGATACAATAACTATATACACACCATAAAACTGGTTGTGTTATACATGTGTTTCATTAATTACTTTGGTGAATTCCACTTGCAATGAAACAAAAACATACTTTAATTGCGCCTGAAGAAGTACAGACAAACTACTACTCCTGTATTCCGTAATGAAAGTTCTCACGATGATTAGTATATAGTTATTATAAAATTTCCAAACGTCAACTGTTGGGCCACGGTTCGCCAGGTATGATTACCTCGCTCGGCCGGAGCATCGTCCCTTTTTTTAGAGGGACCTAAAAATCGGTTTTTCCACATTTCAATTTTTTAGTAATATTCGATGAATAGAATATCACAAGTGAATATCATAATTATGTTTACGGGAATCACAGCCTGTGACCAGGCAGTGCAATCTGGTCGAAATGTCGGCCAATTCAAAGATACTATCGTGAGCGCGTTAATTCCTGTAAAAATAATTAATAATATGGAACGCGATATTAAAAAATACGAGTATATCACAAGTGTTTGTTTAGAACACAATAATACAATAATTACAATTAGTCAAAACTAGACTCGGTTTCGACTAATTGTAATTATTCTTTCTATATTATGTTCAACAAACATTTGAGACTTTTTTGCTTTCTCTTAATTTTTTTTATTTTATTAATCTTTTTAGTGGCATATTCTCCGTAATTGGGTTGCTTGCGGTGATCAGCACATGCTATGATCTCTATCAGAGATTTTGTATCAAAAGTGAGTTAAATACATGAATTTGTTACTTTTATCCACGGCTTTACTCTCGTAAAAGTAGACTTTGTCAGTCGATTCGAGATCCATACGAAAGAAAGAGTTTCTTTTATTTTTTAAATAGTACTGCTATTTAAAAAATAAAAGAAACTCTGTACCTTTAATAAGTTGTGTTAAAAATTTTCATTGGGCTTGCGTGAAAGTTTTGAAAAAAAAAAAAAAAAAAAAACTTATCGTTGGTCTTATACTTTTTAGAATTAAATATTTTTTATATGAAATCAATTCGAAAATATAAAATTCTTGTAATAGATTTGATACATGCCTCAAGATGCTCAAAATTATTGCTAACATTTCAATTTTCTTTATGCAGACACTTCAAATATAAGCCGACTGTACTCCTCCTTCTCTGTGTACACAAACACTCAACGTTTCTTTGTCTTCAAATCTTCCCCGGATGCATTGGAGTGTCTCGATGGCATTCGTACCATCTCCATGTTATGGGTTGTCATTCATCACGTTTATATCTTATACTTGTTGGGATATATTCACAATCAGTTTGAAGCAGTTAATGTGAGTATATAGACGTTAAACAAGCTCCACATTTGTACGTAATTGAAATAATCATGTTAAAAATTTATACAAAGATTTTGTAGCATCGACCCTAGAGCTAATCAGAATATTTTTTACAGATGATAGGAGAGTTATCATATGTATTGCCCTCAGCAGCACCGCTGGCAGTCGACACATTCTTCTTACTTAGCGGCATGCTTGTGGTATACGCTAATCTAGGAAAAGTCACTAGAGGTTGGTAGAATGAAGATCATGTCGTAAAACAGAGTAAAAAGTTCAATTTTTTTATGGTAATAGGTTACCTTATGCCGGGTGTCCTTAGACTATGGATACTGGCTAGTGATCAAAGTTTGTTGCCGCCCTTAAATATTCGTTCCCTCTAAAGTTAGGGAAAGGGGAAGGGATCATATAAGGCATCCGGTAACGTCTTTCTCTCAGTGAAAAGCAACGAAAGCTTAGCTTAATACCCCCTTTAGTGAGATTGTGGTATCACCTTGGACGAGTATAATCATTTTGCCTACCCTTATCCATATTTTAATTGGGGTCGTCGCAGTAAGTATGATTCTTCCGTGCTACTCTATCATTCGTCATCTCACTGTTCACTACCTTTCTAGCCATATCCTCACTTACACATTCCATCCACTTTATTATTATTACATTTTCTTTGGTTTTCCTTTTCTCTTGTACCCTTCAACTCCTCCATACCTATGTATACCCATACCTAACACTTTCTTCGCCACAATTGCATCATCATCCATATCAAGATAACCTATTACTTCTTTCATCTAGTGGCGCTACTTTCAGACTCCCTCATATATATTCATTCCTAACCTTGTCCATCTGAGTCACACCACACATCCATCTCAGCCCCCTCTTTACCGACCAACACAATGTCATCTGCAAATAGCATGCACCAAGGTGCCTCCTCCTGTATGTCCGATGTCAGAGCATTCATTATCAACAGGAACAGGTATGGGCTCAGAGCCAATCCCTGGTGCCAACCTTACATGCGTGCCAGACTCTCTGTACATAGCATGAATCAATTCTACATACTTAACAGGCACTCTTTCTTCTTTCAAAGATATTTTATTCCTTATTCCTAGATAGTTGTTGCATTCCTGAACATTCCCTTTATTTTTGAAAATGAGTACGAGTTGTGTTTGACACCATTCCTTTGGGATTACCTCTTCATGCAACAACATATTGAAGAATAGAGTCAGTCAGAATAGCAAGAATAGAGCCAGTCTTCTTTCAGTAACTTCCAAACTTCCACTGGTATACCGTCGGGGCTAACTGCTTTTCCATTTTTCATGCTTCGTACTGCCAATCAGACTTTATTTATACTAATCTCGTTCATCAGTCCGACATTCAAATCCACATCCTTCAGCACTCCGCTCCATTCATTCTCTTCATTCATAAGTTTTTCAAAGTTTTCCATCGCTCTTTTATATCTTCATCTTTAACCAACACTCTCCCCTCTTCATCTTTTATACATCTCACATGCTAGGTATTTTGCTCTTTCTTCCCTATTTTTTGTAATGCGGTAGAGTTATTTTTGACCTCTAGGTTCATGTAGGTGTTTAAACATTTTGTATTGAGCTTGAGCTATGGCTACCGCTACCGCTTTTTTTGCCTTTTGCTTCCACTCTTCATATCCGTTCATTTTGTCTTCCTTCATTCGCTCACACTGGTCGAGTATAGCAAAGATAATTTTACTATGCATCATAATTGATACATTTCATCTCATATTTAAGCGTGGGAGCAGCGTTTTGTTCTGCATACTTTCTGTCCTTACCATATTATATATATCTATATCCTATACCAACACTTGGACCTTTCTAAGGAAAGGCCTGTATCCAGCACTGGACTATTAAAGGCTGTTGATGATGATGATGATACCATCATTTGAATTCACCTGTGTTTTTACTGTTTTTTTCATAACCTGATTAAATCTTGCAGGTAAATTTGTAAAATCGATCCATCTCTTCTACTTGGGCCGACTTATGCGATTATTTCCAATACTAGCTGCTATGGTGCTTCTTCAAGCATCTGTGTTTAATCACGTGTCCGACGGCCCCTACTGGCAAAATATGGCTATTGAAGTAGAACATTGTAGAACTTATTGGTGGTCTACACTACTGCACGTACAAAATTATGTGAATCCTTCAGAAATGGTAAGTTTACTTGAGTCTCGCAGCATCTTTTAGATTTTTACGTTTATTGTGTAACTTAAGTTTGTTTTTCAAATAAAATATTATTTATTTATATGTTTCAGTGTATATCAAGCAGTTGGTACCTTTCTGTAGATACTCAGCTATATGTATTAAGTCCACTTCTGCTATTTTTCCTCTTTGGACAAAAAAGAGTAGCGTGGGCAATGCTTATACTGTTTTTACTTATTGCTCTTGTCAGCGCTTCTGTATTCAGTTTCCTGTACAATCTACCTGCAGCATTAATTACTCTTGGGTTTGTACTACACATAGTCTTTGTCCTTTGAAATCTAAACTTATAATACAATAAGAGACCCGTCATTTTACAACCAAACAATACTTATATTACAATAACAAACAACACAGCATACTTCCATCATTCAATACAAAATGTTAATCTGTGCATTTGTACGCGTTAATTTATGAAGTGGCTAATTCATTGGCAACACACAAAAATATAAAATATATGACGATTTAAAGAATTTCGTCATACAACTCTTTCTTATTTTCCTTTTTGTTGGAACTTTGGTTGATTATATAGTTCATAAAAGATGACTTCAAGTTTAAATTGACATAAAGAAAAAATCAAACTTTCGAAGATATGCTCGTAGATATAATCGGCGTAAGTTAAGCACATTCAATATCCTTAAAAATATTTAAGAATGTTTGGCCTTTTCTAGTTTTTCACCGACCTCTGAAGTGTTGGTGGTACTCGTACTTAACAAGCATTTTGAATGCCACGTCATTTACTTGACGATTAACGTTTAGATAACGTTTTATCAGCTGTGTGTATTAGTGAAAGCCCAAAGTGATTGCGCCATTTGTTAACAGTGATGCTGCTGTTCGGTTCACTTTCAGATGTCGCACAGTTGCGCTTGCATATAGCTCCTATGCATTTGACAAATAAATATGAAAGATTTTTCAAGGCAGCTCATATGTTTGCAGTCGTCCTCTGGAGTTTGATGATTACTTCAACTACTACTACGTAAATACGCTAACCAGAGCACCACCATTTGTCCTCGGTATGATTTATGGATACACTTTGTATCTAAACAAAGAGAAAACAGTTAAGATTCCATGGGTGAGTAGCAATTGTATTCCTATGCAATTATGGGGCAAAGATTACGTAGCTTTAGCTTCAAATTTTTAGCAGTCATATTTTACATTTAACATGTTTTTTTCTTAGGAGTAGTCTAATATTTGCAATATTATTTATGACTCTGAATTTCAGTCTACCATGTTGTTGTAGCTGTTTTTGTAAGAAGTGCTTTTAACCTTTAATCAGCAGTAATCTTAAGAGTACCTTTTTTATTCTGCCTTTAATATTTGAAAACTTTATTTTTTATTGAACATTCTATTTTTATTTTAGATCATTGTGATCCTTTTTTGGCTGTTGTCGCTTGCTGCGTTGGCCTTCTGCTACTTTATTCACTATGTCGTTGTGCAGTTTGATTACGATAACACCACTTTTGATAACTTCCTAAATGCCTACATGCGCTCAATCTGGGCGATTGCACTGGGCTGGGTAATCTTCGCTTGCGTTAAGGGCTATGGAGGTACAACATATTTACAATAATTACGACTAGATTTCGGCCACTTTAATGCGTTTTGATAATTTTACCTTTTATAGTGAAAGTAAAACTAATGGTCACTTGTTAATTGAGGAATCTAAAAAGGTAACATTTACCTTCCGTAGTACAGATGGATTTGTTTTATTTTCGTATTTATGCTATAAATATCTTCATAGCATTAATTTTCTTGAAAAAAAATTCTTTTAATCAAAGATGTTTTTCGAATCAAGCCGGTCAACTTTGAACAATGGGATAGGGGCCATTCATTAATTTCGTAAGGGTAATTTTTTCGATCTGTCACCCCCCTCAATTTTTTTTTGCTGTGCGGAAATCCCCTCGGATACCACCTACCGGTGGCTATGTCGGACTCGAACCGACTAAAAACCGCACGCCGTCTCCCACCCCCGCTACCCCCATGTAAGGATACATAACATTTCTCCAGCCCCCCCCCCCTTCCTCTTCTTACGTAAGATTCAATCTCGTTTTTCTGAATAATAAAACGTTAGAAAAGGGTCAGTTACACTAAAACTCACAGTTTGACGTAAATCAAAGATTTATATTTTTTAGCAGATAATTTAGGTTATACTTTATTATTGCTATCAGATATAGATTATCTTTATATTATTAGATAACTATCTAGTCTTTGGAATAGTATTATTATAATTAAAAGTTAAGTTTTTAAATAATCTTAAAGTGATTAAACATAAATCAGTTAAACAATCTTTAAACGAATCATCATCAGCCTATCGCAGTCCACTGCTGGACATAGGCTCTTCCCAATGCACGCCACTTAGATCGATTTTGGGCTTAAAACGAATAACACTTTTATAATAATGATCGACTAGTTTTAAATTACTCTTAAAGAAAATAATTTTTACAGTCAAACCTAATACGCGGTAAGAATTCACTGTAATATAATTTATATTTATGACATTTAAAATGTATGAAAATAGACATATTTAAGATGTTAAAATTTTAATAAACAATGATTTTTTTGTAAAATAAGACGTAAATCGAAGTGCACATTATGGATTGAAGAAAATCATTCAGCGTCCGAAATAGAAATAGATTTTTAAAAACAAATTCCACTTTTTTAAATTTTGCGTAAGAATTTTTTGCCCCCCTCCCGCTGGGGATCCTTACGTAATTAATGAATCTCCATATAATTATAAACATAACAAATAAATTTAAAATATCGCGACGAACTTTTTAAGGCTCATTAAAAATCAAAACTATATAGTCATTTAAAGTTAGTGTTGTTAAGTTTAAGTGTTTTGCTGTTTATAACTAATTCTGTCTTATTCCTTTATTAGGTCCTGTAAACTGGTTCCTGTCGCTGTCCATGTGGAAGTTACCGTCCCGAATGTCGTATGCTATATATCTCTTCCACATGCCACTCATTTACGCAGTCAACGGCAGCGCCATTTTTCCATTGTTCGTCTCCGATGCATTCGCTGTAAGTTTTCAAAGCATTCTTTGTACTTTTACATTGTTATTTATTCTATTGATTACGCGTTGTGTTATCGTTTCTCTCTGTAAAGTTTTTGGTACACAGTAATAACATCCTGTTGTATTTTAATTTATAAAGAGGGGGACAATACTATCTTCTGGCAAGCCCTTTCTATTTGTCTTGCAAGAGATATTGGCGATTTTTATCACTGAAACTTCTTCATTCTTACTCATAGTTGAAAACCAAATAAGCACTTTAGTGTATAGTGTGTAATGTGTTCACCTCGAGCCGGACCGATTTAACTGGGGTTATATTTTTTTAAAGACTACTCCCTACTACTAGGAATATATCCTGTGTCGCAGGGGACTTTAGAAACATACATGAAACGGACACAAAGAACACCCAGACTCGGAACAACCATTTGTGGATCACACAAAGTGTCGTTCCATGTGGGTATCGAACCCACAACACTCAGCGTAGTGGTGAGCGGCGCGGCGACCGCCACCACTACGCCATTCGTGCAGTCAAATTTCATTAAATTCCTTATCGAAACTTATTGTACCTAACACTAATTCTTTGTTTCTTGCAGATCCACCGGTTCATGAGTGTTTTGCTTATGTCATTCCTGTTTGGATTAATCCTTTGTATCGTCATTGATGTTCCAATTGCTAATGTTTACAGCTTAGCGACCAGAGGTAAGTGCCTACTCCAACAAGTCAATACATAAACGTGCCTATATCCCCTAAGAGATAGAAACACTTACTTTTTGCTAAATAAAATGTTACCACCAGCTTGTGCTGAATCAACGGCAAGGCTAGAAAAGAAGAAAATGAGTGAACAAAGTTGTACGTATGTGTGGATGGACGGATGGAACTCCAAATTTGTAACCTATAGTGGTTGTCTCCGAAAAGATCGAATCAGAGTAATGCTTAGCATATTATGTTCCTTTAAATGAACTAAAACGAAAATGTTATATAAATGAAAATTGTTAACTCATGAAGAAATACTTTTTTCAGGAGGTTATAAAAAGCCACCTCAGACACCTACAGTTGCGAAACCAACGGAAGACGATGTAATTGTAAAAAAATCATAATTAAGGATTTTTGTAAGAAACTGATGATGTAAGTTGATGATGATGATGTAAGAAACTGACTAGATATAGGATTATTGTTAATGGCGTTTTCATCAAGATCTTTAGCTGACCGCTAGGAACTTATGGCACGGCATTATGAATCTTTGTGACATTTAGTTTAACATACTATTTATTGAAAATGTAAATATTTAACTTTAATAAAAAAATGAAAATATCTTTGACTCTGATTATAAAAAATTGCATTGAAAAATCTTATGAACTTAGATAAGGAGCTGAAGCCTAATTACCAACATATTTATTATTATAATCTATTATTCGTAGGATATTAATGTCTTGAGAATATCGTTTTTAAGAAATTTTCTATTTTAAAACAGCTTAATTTTTTTTACAGAGAGCTTGTTAATTTTCAGCTAATAGTCTGACTGAAACTCGATTGATCCTTTATAAACTACTACAGTTTTTCTTTTTTTTATCACTTCCTAAGAACGTCAGTTTAGATAGAGATTAATGAAAATAATACATTATAACGAAAAAGAGAATTTTCAAAACAATTAATGACAAATGCTTAATATTGAGCGTAAACCAATACTCACCTGCCAGTTATCTGTATCCGGGGAGGAAAAGGACAGAGTATTTGTGTATGCGTCAGTTTTTTTGGTGGATCTTAAACTGATTTTGCATATTATTATTTTCTATTCCTCATCCAAATCACATTAACAGCATTGAATAATTCACTACTGGACATATTCCTCTCCTTAGAAAGGAGATTTTGGCCTACTTTGGGTTTTTGTCGAGTGTTCCTTCTCTTTGCAGTGCAGTTGTCCTGTGTAGCTTGCAGGGAGCAACTGAATGGGGGTGGTGACACTCCGTTTTAATGTAGTGGTGTAGTAGTGCAGCTCGGAACACGACGTTGTGTTATTTAGACCTGAACTCAACTTCCTGACGTTTCCATGTCATGCGTATTGACATTAACGAGAAGGAACATGAGGTACGCGTCTCGGTAAACGTAGTGTAGGACGCCCACAGGCCAGGTGGAGTGACGATTTGCGCAAGATGGCTGGCAGGAGCTGGATGCGAGAAGCCCAAAATCGATCTAAGTGGCGTGCAATGGGAGAGGCCTATGTCCAGCAGTGGACTGTGATAGGCTGATGATGATGATGATGATGAACATGAGGTACTTATGTAACTGCATTCGAGGATATGCGTTATTATATTATTGATCCAGCGCATCACTGCTGTATACATATCTTGGACGTGAGGTCATGTTTGATAATGGGCATTAATTCATTTTGCTTACCGCATTCACATACTATCGCACGTTTTTGTCCGACGCGCCCTTTGATATCATTTAATTTTACTTGCCGTTTTCTATACGACATCTCTATACCGTTCCTCACATAGCATGAACTATTCCATACAAAAACAAACATTGGGCTAAAATATCATTATCATTGTCAACATTTTTAATGATAAGTATATGCAATTAGATGTAATTGATAGGATACTACAATCAAATATCGCAGATGACGTCAACTTGTATTATGTTATTGATATCTACATCCTGTGTTGTAATTGTTGCCAAGACTTACTTTAATGTATAAATATTTTTTAGGTTCTCATTTTTAGGGTTTCGTACCCAAAGGGTAAAACGGGACCCTATCACTAAGACTCCGCTGTCCGTCCGTCTGTCTGTCTGTCCATCTGTCACCAGGCTATATCTCATGAACCGTCATAGTTAGAGAGTTAAAATTTTCACAGATGATGTATTTCTGTTACCAACAAATACTAAAAACAGAATATAATAAATATTTGAGGGGCTCCCATACAACAAACGTGATTTTTTTGCCCGTTTTTGCTCGATATTGATAATGGCAATAGGTAGACGCTTAAAACATTCACAGAATATTTAGTTACACATTCACTTTAAAATTAAATAATTAAATTGAAATAAAACAAATATTTAAGTTGGGCTCCCATACAGCAAACGTGATTTTTTGCCATTTCTATAGATAGTGGTACGGAACCCTTCGTGCGCGAGTCCGACTCGCACTTGGCCGGTTTTTTTCTTGTGGCCTTACTCCTCGTGTACCTAATAGTCTATGATTAAACCTCTTTGACACCGTCTTACCTTGGGACGCCGCAGCGTCGGGCTGATTACCTTGCAACTGAGACACGGCACGTACTAAAGATAAGAACACATCTTGTGTTGTTAATTACTGCACTAATTAGTACCTTATCTAATGTGGCTTTAGTTAGTACGGTATTGACGTACCAGCTCGCTACTGGTTACCATGAGGTCAATCGTAAATAGAATTGTAAATAAAAATAATTTTCTAGCGTAATCTGTGATTAATTTTCGTTAATCTAATTAACCTTTTGAATAATTTTCTTTTATTATATGTGTTATCTAAGATGTATAATTATGTGTTCTGATATATTTAAAACAAAAACAAAAAAACTTGTTAAACTGATTAATTATCTTGTGGTGACGAATTAAGAATACGAAGTGTCACCATCCCTATTACGTCCCATGGCTGTCGTAAGAGCCCACTAAGGGAGAAAACTACGAAGGACAAGAATACTGCAAAAAGAGAAGGAAAACTTGAAACAAACCCGTATAGGGTTTGTTTCCCAACCCGTCTGGCCAGCGTAGCATAGTTAGCCAAAACCTCTTTTCTAAGGAGAAGCCTATGTCCAGCAGTGGACTATTACCGACTATTGATAATATTATAAATTGATAAATGATTTTATTAGAACGAAGTTCCTTTTCGCTCGTCACACGCTTTGAGCGGATGGGAGCTAGACCGAAAAATGTGTACCGTGTATTTGCCGACACTTTTTTGCTAGAATACGCAAGCACTTGCTTATATCTATCCTTTAAACTAAGCAACGGTTTTTAATGCGGTGTTCACCAATAGAGAGAGTGATTCAAGAGGGAGGTTTATATGTATAATACATGCATATTATAGTAGTAATAGTATTAGTAATATTCAAGAATTTCAAAGATTTGTGGTAAATAACATGTTTTGCAACATATTTTTTTTTTCTTTTCTAAAGAAAAAATATTGGACCAAATAAAAGCACGTTAAGGTCCTTGTCTGATTCGCCTTTGCAATCATTAATTTGACAAATCAGAGGTCGTACTATTGTGTGTGTTGATCTATGACTTAAAAGTCTAAATAAGAGACGTTTTCAAAGAATTAAAAATAATAATAGAATGCAATGAAATAAAAAAATAAATCACAGGATGGATATGATTGTACGTACACGACTCCCACCTCTGCAAGTTACGAATTCTTAGTCCCATTGTCACATCTATAATTCTAGCTCCATCGTCTAATCCATTTGCCGTGCCCTAATTCACCCCTTTCTTTGGCCCGTCTGAAAATGATAACTAGCCAAAAAGCAACCAGCTAAACAGCGATCCCAAAATAAAGCGTAAAAAGTAAGTATATCAAAATTTTTGCTTAACATTTTAAAATCAAATAAATCATCTCAAAGAGCACGTGAAGAGTTTCTTTTAATAATTTCACAAAGGCCATATAAAACTTTATTAAAAGGTACGTGGTTTCGGTATTGCGTAAAATTTCAATTAACTTTCTTTCCGTACAAATTATCTAATATTTTTAAGAAAATTAATCAAAGTTACGAAATTTGAAGAGGATACGAATTAATTAGCTTTGAAACTGTTTTAACAAAATTATCTACCCAAAGTTAGCATATGGATGAAAATTTTAATATTGTGTACGTCAGTAGTCAAGAAGATCAGCATGGCATAAAGGATATCTGCCGGCTCTTGAGCCTATATCCCTACAGAGAGAAATCTAAGACCTTACCTTATCATCACCATTAACAGCCTTTTATAGTCCACTGCTGTACATAGGCCTCTCCTTAGAAAGAAGATTTTGACCTGGTCAAACGGGCTGGTATAGGGTTTGTTTCAAACTTGCCTTCTTTTAGTAGTTTACTCCCATAGCTCTTGTTAATCCGTCACCACACAGACAAAGAGCCTACCTGCCCACCCACTTATGTCAATAAATTTAAAGTATTACGTTTTGTTACAAATTTGAAGACTGTTGGTTAGTGATCGACGATCGTAACAAGCAGGATTATAGATTCTCATTCTATCCAACGTATAACGTACGACAATGTATGTATACAGAAATATATACTTAAGTATGTTTACCAACAGTATGGTTGATTTGTAAAAAGCTTTGCCTAGTTTAGATAAAACGGCCGCATGTGTTAAGTCTCACACTATTATTTTTATAAGCGATCGCTTAACGTTCGAAGGTCTGCCCTAGTTCATTAAGCCCTAGATGTTTGCTTTAAAATAAGGTATTATAATTTGTACTTTATTTGTATGACTTGCCGTACCATGGCATAAAATTAATAGGCCACACTATGTACTAAACATATTCTTACACTTAGATTATTGATATTTCTTAAATTTTGTGTGCCGTTATTCATTTATTTTTATTTTAAACCTATTTAACTTTGGCAATAGTTGATCTTTGTCTTTCAGATATCAAACTATAGTTCTAATAATTATGATAAATAAATCAGTGCAATAGTAACATTACCTGTTTTATAGGGGGCAAATGAACAGACACTCTGCCCGCCTATTACTCGACTCAAAGGAAATGCATAACTGAAAATGGTTTTCTCTGAAGCTGTCTCCTGTCGAGCTGTCCCTGTTGTGGAGAAACATAGCTCTCCTACGATATTATTTGTTACCGGGAGTGTGTGGATATTGGTCACCTAATTTTTATAAATAATCTGGTATACAAAACAATAAAAGCAACCTTTTACGATGCAGCGTATTCTCCTGCCAAAGTAAAAAGTTTTGCAATTGTTAAGGCGTCATCGCAACTATAAGCGCCTACATTAAAGTTAAGAGCTATTAACAACATGGCTACATAATCTACATCGTAAAACATCGTTTGTTTTAGTGTGTGTTAGGTCCTAAACATAAAAGGGGAAGTGTTCTCCCCTGGGATAGGGCCTGATTAAGCATGGTGTTCATTCGGGGAGGACCTGAAATAACATGGACCGGGTCCTCCCAGAGTGGGACACGTGAGACCGGCTGTCAAAGTGGTTTTTAGTGAAATCACCACATACTCCTGGCTCCTGAGTCCCCGAGGAGCAGGAGATCCGAAGGGATGTTCCACCCCGTCAACAAAAAACAAGAAAGGGCCTAAACATATTATTAGCTTACCATCATCACTTGAAAAATAGTAGCCTTGGTGTACAGTCAATTTAAGCCTTTTATTTTCTAAACAATACCTGAAAGTCCTCTTGACCCTATACAGCAATTATAATTGGGCTATCAAATTTAATCAATCATAAAGTTCGATGGCCTAGAAATCTCGAATTTTAAAAACACGGTTTGTTTTTTTTTATATTTCTATTTATCAATTGAATAACAAATTTAAAATGTTTCGATTGTCTGGAATCTGGAATTGGATTGGGTTTTTGATCTGTATCAGTCAAGCAGCGTACTCAATAACCGTTATAGCTGAATTTATGTATTTTTTTGATTCTAATCAATTGAGGTTTCAATGAGTAAACCAAATTTTACATGTTAATAGACTTAAAGATGTTACCGCCGCGTGCCTAAATAAAAAAGATAATTTGATTAGTACAATTACCAACGATTCGAACTGAGGAGGAGGACGGAGGAACTGAAAGGGCGCCAACGCTCTTGTGACTTGAGTAGCAAGTGTCTATTGGCACCGGTAGTCACTTACTATCAAGTTACCCGTCTGCTCGTTTAAATAAATAAAAGGAAAATAAATAATGAACATCATCATCATCAACAGCCTTTAGTCCACTGGCTGGACATAGGCCTCTCTTTAGAAAGAAAGAAAACCTTATTTTCTTTTTCAACCTGATTTTCTTTAGGCCAAAAAGCCTACTATACCACGCTGGCAGAACGGGTTTGTATCAAGTTTTACTTTTACTTGTAGCACTTTTGTCCTGCGTAGTTTGCTCCCTTAGTCGGCTCTTACGGCACCCACGGGATGGATAGGGGTGGTGTATTCTAAATTATATCGAATTCTATATTTCTAAACGAAACTAGGGTGACCTTGATATCATTGTAGAGGGCCAAAAAATTTAGAGAGTGCGCAAATAATTTTTTTTAGGGACATGGCTCAATGACACCTGGACTTTTGAACATGAGTTCAAGACTCGCATAGAAATAGGTCGTAGTGCCTTATGCAAGTTAAAAAAATGACTTTGCAATAGCAGACTTAAAATCCCCTGCGCATAATACTCCTACCGTGTTGCATCTGGCCTATACTTTTGTACGGATGCGAGGCATAGAAAAATTAAAAAGACCTCAGCAAACGCATAGAAGTTTTCGAGATGTGGACATATAGGCAACGTTGGCCATTACTTGGACTCAGAGGGTATCGAATGAGGAAGTTCTCCAACAGAAAAAGCAAGAAGGAGTACGCAGAGCTGACTGCCAACCTTCGCTAGTCGGAGAGGCACTTAAAAAAGAAGAAGAAGATTCTTAATTCGCCACCACATGGAAACGAAATAATGAATAATGATTTAAAACTCAATCAAAGAAATTAATGTCCAATAAAACAGCAAAGTTTACGACAGTAAAACCTAGACGCGAGGAAAGGAAAATAAAATTTGTTTTCTAATTTACATTGCAGTATTGTGCTAGCCCTCTCTTTGACGTTGAGCTTACATCATCCCTCGTCCTAAACAAATAACCCTTCACTACCTGAACACTTTCGACCCGTTCCCATTCTTCCCTTTCTATCTAAAGTGCTTGAGGCCTGTGTTTATAAGCAGCTCTCAGAATTTCTAAACAGGCATAAACTGCTAAGTCCTCTACAGTCTGGCTTCAGGCCTGGTCACTGTTACCTTAAAGGGACTGGTGATATTAGAAAGGGTACGGAAGACACCAAAGTTACAGTTCTGGTCTTAGTTGATTTCTTAAATGCCTTCTGCCATCAGTCAGGAAGTCCTACTATCATCCTTACATATCTTAAGATTCCTCCAGCAGCACTGGAGTGCTTCAATACCTATCTTCAAAGTGAGTGAGTTCGTGTTTAAGACTTGTCATCAAGTTGGTGCGACCTCTACACTGGCGTCGCTCAAGGCGGAATTTTATCTACTAGCACTGCCTGCACTTCGTACGTATTAAATTTGGCTTAAGGTATTATGAGAGACAAACTGTCGTTCGTGTCGTGATAAATTCTGTCGGTACTAATTAAACTATTTGAATCTGACACTATTACAAATACGAAACAGAAAATTTGGGATTCATAAAATATTTTTGATTATTTTACACTTTATTTTTGAAACTCACTGGCAGTAAATATCCTATTAACTGGTAGATTTGAGCCTGCACATTAAGAGTCGGCATAAATGACCTTTCTACCATTTGCCTTGCATCAAAAGATATCATTTAAAAGTACAGTTATATGATCGAATATTATCTAAAAATGATTTAAAATTTGGGTGTGTAATTTAAAATGACTTTAATGATTCTGGAGGTAGGTAGAAAATATTCAAACGTATTTTGTCACCCGTGCAGCAAAGTCTATTGGACTCTCTTCTGCATTTGAGGGTTTGACAATGCATATAAATCTGAGTCATTAATATTTGATTTTAACTTTCACTTTATAGCAATAGACTTAAATGGTATTTTCGAGTGTCTTAAAAATCCCATATATAAACTAGTACTACTACTACCTACTTTAAAAGCGAGAAGTCATCACACAAATCTTTGTCTTGGGGGGAAACGAACCCACAACCTTTGGCTTGGCAGTCAGGACCACAAACCGCTAGACCAATAGGATAGGAAATTCAGTTAACAAATTATTACAATTTATCATGATTGAAGTTGACGTGGGTGACACAATTTTTTATATGATATTTCTTATTCACTATATTATTTAGTACAATCGATAACATTTTTCGCAATATAAACTAAATCTTTGGGTAGAGTACTGCGCTCCTAGACAGGCTACTGATGCGATAAGGAGATGACAGACCGAGAGACAGTGATAGTCACGGTCTCACGTTCTCAACACATAGATAGCCAAATTATCTGTAATTTTGTTAAAAAGATAACGAACGAACGAAATCTGACGATTTTCTACGTTGTGTCAGCGACCTCATATAAAAGTGTTGGAGCCTTAGGCAATAATCGGCGTCTGCTAAATGATTATATTTTTTTTTTATATTTGTATCTCATAAACGTTTCACCAGTTAAAAAATAAGCAGTTTTTGTTTAAGAATTTATTTATAAATATACACATTAAAAAACTGACAAAATTGTATTTTTCAAAAATATTTTCTCGCTATTAAGATTTATCAAAAATGAAAGGCGCACTGCGACTCGAACACAGCTAAGTATAAAGATAAATTCGATGGTTTATCTTTATCGCACATGTTGTAACGAATTTACTTATAAATTAGGTTTTCAATGATTTTTTTCATATTAATATTAACTGCCGAACGGTTACCATGATTGATAAAAAATTTAAAAGTTTGTCGGTTGTTTTTGTGTTGAGTGCACTATTTGTGGTAAACGCAAGGAGTACTTTTGATCAGCAACTGTATGAAGATGTGTTGGACCCTGTTAAGTGCGCTGAACAACTGCAAATTTTGGAAGCAAACTCTTCTCTTCTTTTTGAGTGTAAGTACAATGTTAAGTTTTTACAGTCGTATTTATTACATAGTATGTTTTTGTTCGATTTGTCACTATCACTACTCAGAAGTCTTGCAGGAATATTGTGTACTGTATTTCTATGTGTGTGTCGAAACCTTAAAACTAAGTATACGTTAATACGGATTCATTATAAAAATGTGTACATCTATTTTGCCATAACATTGGAATCAACTTTAGTCAAAAAATAACGTGGTTACTTTTATAATAATAATAAATTTATTTCATGAATACAAACATAATTCAATGTTATTAATAATTTTTATGACACATTGAAGGCTGAGAATTTTGCACATAGTTTTTACTTGCCGATTCCAAATATACATTCAGTCAAAAAAGTATCGGGAATAGATGATTTGTTTATGGTTCCAAATTCAAATTTTTGTTTTTTTTTTTGTTGTTGTTAGATTGGCACAACTGTTTTCCATTTTGGAGCGGAGTTTGAGTTGCATCTGTTATTTATATTAAATACAGTGCAGTTTTTAGTTATATCATATCTAGTGTGTATTGCGAATTTCATAAAGGACAAACACATCGAACAAAGATTTCGTCTTAAGTTTTGCATCCCCAATGGAATTTCGTGTTCGGAGTCACTGAAAATGTTACAGAAGGCTTACGGTGAATCGACTTTATAAAAAACACGTCCTTATGAATGGTACAAAGCGTTCAAAAGCGGTCGAGATGTGATGGAAGATTTGCCTTGCTCTGGTAGGTCTTCAACGTTTGCAACTGAAGTTAGCATCGCAAAAGTGAAGGAAATAGTGACTGAAAATCCTCATTCCAATTTGAGAGAGATAGCCGCCGAACTTTCTGTATCTCACGAGTCGATCTGTACCATTTTATAACTAATCATTTGGGTATGAAACATGTTACCACTCGGCTAGTCCCAAAAGACCTGAATTTTCTCCAAAAACTCAATCGCATGAGAGTCGCTGAGGACATGCTAGAACGAGTCAATTCCGACCCAACATTCATAAAATGCATTGTTACTGGTGATAAGACGTGGGTTTACGAGTTTGTCATGCAAATTAGTCAACAAGCTTCGGAGTGGCGCCTCCCAACTGAACCGAAACCGAAAATACCACGCCAAATTCGATCAAAAGTCAAAGTCATGTTTACTGTTTTCTTTGACTATCGCGGTGTTGTGCACTTGGAATTCTTGTAGGAAGGTTGAGCGTCATGCGGCATTTAAGAGAGTAAATTCGACGAAAAAGGCCGAATTTGTGAAAAGAAAATTCTTGGATTTTGCACATAATAACATAATGCGCCTTCGCACAATGCCAACATTGTGAACGAATTTTTGACCAAACAAATACCATCGACCAAGCACCATATTCACCAGAAATGGCTCCAGCCGGCTTTTTTCTTTTTCCTGAACTCAAAATACCACTTCGTGGCACCCGTTTGCAATCGGTAGAAGACATGAAGGAGAATTCGCGGCGAGAACTGAACTCAATTCCGGAAACAGCGTTTAAAAAATGTTTTGATTATTAGATTATTCGTTGGCTTTGAAGGTGATAAAATAAATTTGGATGAATAACAAATATTTTGTGTATTATTGATCTTTCCCCTGTATTTTCTTGACAGAGTAGTACATCGACTTTCAAACTATTTAAATGCGTGTTTTATTAGGTTCTCTACAAATATATAGTCCAAGGACAAGTACGAGTAGCAACATAGTTTCAACATTGAGTCGTCGTGAGATGTGAAATATCTAAATTATTTTGTAGAAATAATGATTATCACTTTGATGATCAGCGTGAGACGCACCGCATTACATGTAGCCACTCGTCGCGGCATGTGTCGCCACGACCACACAACAGCCGGTCTGACCCTCGGCATTAGATGAGTTGTAATAATTTGTGGTCCGTTTAACTGCCCAAAAGAGAAGTACTATACTTCTCATAGTATCGAATTGAGAACCCCATTTTTTGACGTCGGTTAAATATAAGCCGAAATAGGCTAACTTATATGAGCTTGCATTTCTACAGTCTTGATAAAGGTATTATAGTAATATTATATTCCATCCGTTTAAATAAAAGTATCAATGATAGCGTAAATTACTTACATATGTCACTATATACTATCATATCACAACATATCAGTATTAGTATTGTTTTATTGACAATCTGATAAAGATATTTTCTTTTTAAAAAAAGTCTACTAGCAACCGAAATTACTAGTATTCCCGTTAACCCCTCTCGCTAAGCTAAATTACTTGTTTTAGGAGTGGTTTCATGTCGGTAGTGTACTGGTCAGCATTTGAACCCACGTCCTCTTAATCGCAATTCCAATGACTTAATCCGTAGGCTACCGCCGCTATATCAATTTGCATAGTCAATTAAATTAAACTTTTTTTCATTGCGGTTCAAATATGTTACGACAATGTCAATAATAACAATATTCCACTATATTCACACAACAAGATCTAGTCCCAAATTGAGCAGAGCAATGATAAATAATATTTTGAAATTATTCCTAGTTATACCTACCCTAATACCCAAGAAGATTCTTAACATGTATGCACCTGTAGTAATATATGACCATTTATTGCTATTTTTATTTATTTTATATTTTCTCTGTTTGGGATAAATACAGCTAGCATTATTGAAAAACACATAAGACATAATACATAAGCATCTGATGGCCATTTAAAAATATCCGCGATTAGAAAATACACGCCTAACATTAAATTAAAAGTCAGTAAACAAAGACAAAGCAAAAGGCAAAGGTATATTGATGATCTAGGTATAAAAATATGTTACGAAACAGTAATCTTTTTAAATATAAATAACTATAATCTACAGATAGCACTTTTTGTGCCGATGATAAATGGACTTATCGGGATATTATTAGCTTCATGATTCAATTGTTTAACTAATATAAAGTATTTTATTAGCACTTCCTGTCTTTGAATCACAGTCAATCACACGCCCTTGCATGTGAGATTTCCCAATTCATCCCGTGGGTGTCATAAGAGCCGACTAAGGGCGCAAAACAACGCAAGACACCAGCACTGCCAAATAAGTAAAATGCGACACATACCCCATACTAACCCGTCTGGCAAGCGTGGTATAGTTGGTCAAAACCTTCTTTGTAAGGAGTGGCCTATGTCTAGCAGTTGACTTTTGAAGGCTGTTAATGTGATGTGATGTAATGCGTGTGAGATGGCATCGATTAATTCACTCGTTTGAATAAAAAATACTAGGCCAAAACCTCCTTTCCAAGGAGAAGCCTATGTCCAGCAGTGGACTATTAAGGGCTGTTGATGATGATGATAATGAATAAAAAATCGATGAAAAGATTTTGCTCTAAACAAGATATACTTTGCTTTGACTGTTTTTAATTTATCTCTTATCTATAATATTTTTGTTTTAGTCTTTGACACCAGTGGTAAGATACCTAGTGGTATGACTGCAGGAAACTTAAATGATCTTGGGGACTACTTTCAATGTTTAGCCATAAACCAAGACGTAGGCCAACAACAAATCCAGGGAAAATATTGCATGATCAGAATCCCCATGGAGGCCTTACCATTCCTTCCACTTTGGCCGGTATTTACAGGGTCCAGGAACTATAACATCGATTTTCAAGACAATGCACTACTAAAGAGTTATGTTCAGCAAAAAACTGGTCATGCGGAATCAGTTGGTAGAAAGTAAGCTGAAAATGTACTTTTACTAATACAGTATTAGCCTTGAATTAACATAAAAGTATCGTTTAATAAAATATCTTATGCAGAGTTCTCTAGTGATGGCATTTCAAGAAGGAAGCAATAACTTTAATTTTCAATATAATAATAATAATAATATACCTCACCTCTCGAGTGACTGCTAAGCCGGAGGTCGTGGGTTTGATTCCCAATCAGGATAAAGATTGTGTGATGAGCACGGTCATTTCTTCTGTGTCTGGGTGTAATTTATCTATAATCTGTATGTATTCAGTCAGCAGTCTGGTTACCATAGCACAGGCTCTGCCTAGTTTGAAATCAGACGGCCGTGTGTGTGATGTGTAAGGTATATATTAGGTTTATAGCTCTGCCTACATTTTCAATGATACAGAGGTGTGTGTACGTAGATGTATTATATAAATTGCCTTATTATTTTTCAGTAATATTATAAACATTTTCGACCCCAGGATGTCAATAGCCCTTTGCATCCCCAAGGTGTGCACTGTTAACGATACAGCTGATGTTGCAATTCCCTCTTTCATAGATTACGATCTAAACTTCTGCCGACTACCTAATGACAAAGCGTTTGTTGCTGCTGATTACACTGCTTTGTAAGTATTTTATATCTTAAAATTATTTTAATTGCCGTTTTTCAAATTTTCCGGTGAGTTCACTGCAATTTCGTTTCCAATTTGTTTATTAAAAAAAAAAAAAAAAAGAAAATAAATTTTGATAAATTTGAAAAAAGCGTAGGGTGAATGTAGTCAATAGTAAAAAAAATGAATGTACATTACAGTAAAAAAGCGTGGGGTGCATCTGAAGTGCTTTTTATGATATTATCAAAGTGATGATTTTTCTACTCATCTGACAATAAATGTTTATAACTATTGACACTATGCACCCCACGCTTTTTTACAATAATGTACATTCATTTTTTTTTTACACTGTACTTAATCAAACTTAATCAAATTTACACTATTCTTAATCCAAATTTATTAAACTTTATTTTCTGTTTTTTAGTTGGATTTTCTATAAAAGCGTGTTTTTAATTTTAGTTTTTTTAAACTATTATCTATTTTTCATTTTTAGTTAAATTTTTTGTGTTTTGGTTTTTATAAGACAGTGACTAATCAGATAAATGGGGAAATTGGGTGCTTGCTGCCTTCCTTGGATACGGTAGTCGTTTCTCAGGTTCCCTCTCCGAAAATTTGATCTTCTTAACAGTTGGTGACCTTATCGACTGCAGATCCAAGCTCATGCTAGTAACTGAATTATATGCCGCAAAATAAATAGATATTTCTGTCCTTAATATTTTGTTTTGTTGTGAATACGAAGTTTTTTCTGTAAATCACGGTTATAAATATATTATGGATATTATAAAATGATAATAGAATGCGTATTAGATTTGTCGGGACATATATGTAAGTATAAGGAAGAAGACGCAACTACCATATTAGTTTTTATAAGGTTGTGCTGAACTGAGTGCCCGAAAGAGCAAGTCTGGAACTGCACGCATGCGTAGTTCGCGCACTAGCTCTGTCTCTCTTACTCGCATGCAAAGGATGCGGAAAGAAATTAATTAATCCTGGCGAATCTAATTAGGATAATCGGATACTTTGATCGGATTATTGCATTGTCATCGACCTTTGACAGGTGTGCAAAGTTTGAATCAAATCTGATCGTTCAAAGTAGGGCAAAATCGAGCTCAAAGGAGTCGGTTACATACAAACAAACAAACAAACAAACAAACATACAGGTGAAGCTAATAATAAAATAAAAGCGTGTTAATAAAAAAAAAACGTGTTAAAAAGTACCCCACGCTTTTTTCAAATTTATCAATATTTACTTTCTATTTTTGTTTTTTTTTTAATTAGTGTATTGTCATCGGTCCTCGATATATCTACAAAGTTTTAAACGAATTCTGACCGTTTAAAGTCAGTCAAAATCACGCCCAAAGGAGTCGGTTACAAACAAACATACAAGTGAAGCTAATATACGAGGGGTGATCAATAAGTAATGATAATCGAGTATTTCTAGAACGCACAAAAACCCAAATTATTTTTTTTCTGCTTGCTTATATATCCACTACTTCAGCTTCAAAAAAATGTATAAATAGGACACCATTACCGGGAGATACATTCATTTGAATACGAACTGTCGAAGAGAAAACATCAAAATGGAGAAAAATGAAATAAGAGCTGTCATCAAGTACCTCTGCCTGAAAAAAGTGTCTACCAAAGACATACACAGCGACTTAGAGGAAACATTGGGGGAGTCTGCTCCTCCATATTCCACAGTCGCACGCTGGGCAAAGGAATTTAAGCTGGGCAGAACCTCCACTGAAGATGAACATCGCGAGAGACGCCCTTCCACGTCCCTTACTGGAGAAAACGTCAAAAAAGTGGAAGATATCGTGTTGGCCGATCGAAGGGTGACCGTAAGGCATGTAGCTGAGGTCACAGGGATCTCCTATGGCAGCGTTCAAAAAATCATTGTCAACAAAATGCATATGAAAAAGGTCTCTGCGCGTTGGGTACCGAGAATGTTAACCGACGAGCAAAAAAAGAAACGAGTCGACATTTCGAGGGTGAATCTTCAAAAGTTCCAGGCCGATAAAGAATTTTTTTTTGTCGCGTTTTGTGACCATGGACGAGACCTGGATCCACCACTTTGATCCCGAAACCAAACAACAATCAATGACTTGGAAACGAGCTTCCTCACCAACACCGAAGAAATTCAAAGTGTCAAGTTCAGCGGGAAAGGTTATGGCGTCTGTTTTCTGGGATGCAGAAGGAATTATTATGGTGGAATATTTGGAAAAGGGGGCCACTATAACAGGCTCTTACTACGCAGGCCAAATAAGAAGATTGCGAGAAGCTATTAAGTCAAAAAGACGCGGTAAACTGCCCGCTGGAGTGCTGTTTTACCAAGACAACGCCCCGGCTCACAAAGCCGCAGTTACGATGGCTGCCATTGCAGAAACGGGGTTCGAACTGCTCGAACACCCTCCCTATTCGCCAGATCTAGCTCCCAGTGACTTCTACCTCTTTCCTCGGCTCAAAGAACACCTCCGGGGCAACAAATTTGAGGGCAATAGTGAAGTGATGGCCGCAGTAGAGGCATTTTGGGAGGGTCAAGACAAAGATTTTTTTTCTAAGGGAATCATGGGCTTAGAAAAAAGATACACTAAATGTATTAACTTGCAAGGAGACTATGTTGAAAAATAAAATACTTTTTTTAATCTAATAGTTCTGTTTCATATTGATTATCATTACTTATTGATCACCCCTCGTAAAGCGTGTAAAAACTAGTATTTTTTTGATCTTGGTTCAACATTTATACGATGGGATAAATATACCATATTTACTGACCATGATATTGACTGACCTTGACTTCTTCGCGTGTTTCAATAACATCCATGTTTTGTAGTATTCGACGAACTATTCGTATAAAGGGTTTTTAGCGATGTTGTTTAGAAACCAATGTTCGAAACCAAGACTACGTGAAGTGAAGAATTATTCTTCTTTTTTGGTTTCTCTCTGCATTTTTTTCAATTTTATAAATCTTTTCAGTGTCATATTCTCCATTATCGGATTGCTTGCCGTGATCAGCACTTGCTACGATCTCTATCAGAGATTTGGTGTCAAAAGTGAGTTAATAAAATGCGCTTGCTACGTCTTGCCTACAATTTCTCGAAGATAGACTTTGTCAATCGATTCAAGATCACACAAGACAATTACTGCAAAATTTCATGGGTATTAATAGACAAGGCGTGAAAGTCTAAGCAATAATAAAAAAAAACACATTTATAAAATTTATCGTGATTAATTTCTGTTCTTAAATTTTTTTTTGAAGTAAATAATTCCGTCAATTTATAATTCTTATGATAATTTTGATACATACTGATACTGTTTTAATTTTCTTTACGCAGACACTTCAAATGTCAGCCGTTTGTACTCCTCCTTCTCTATCTACACAAACAGTCAACGTTTCTTTATCTTCAAATCTTCCCCGGATGCATTGGAGTGCCTCGATGGTATTCGTGCCATCTCCATGTTATGGATTGTCGGTCATCACTTATATACGTTATATTTTGGAGCAATTATTTACAATCTGACAGATGCAGTTTCTGTGAGTATAGACATTAATCAAGTAGCGTATTCGTATAAAATTAAAACAAATATGTATTTCAACATAACTTTTACAGTATAAACCGTAGAATTAATCAGAATATTTTTCTCAGATGGTTACAGAATTATCGTATGTATGGGTCACAGCAGCACCGCTGGCAGTCGACACATTCTTCTTACTCAGCGGTATGCTTGTGGTATACGCTAATGTGGGAAAAGTTACTAGAGGTTGGTAAAATTGAATTAATCGCCGTCGCAATGATATTGATTTTTAATGGTGGAAGTCGGTTCACTTGATGGAAAGTGACTGTTGCCGCTTATGGACGTCTGCAACTCAAGTTATATAAGCGGGATGATAAGCTGTGAATTTCACCCCCCTCCCCGAGTTAGGATCTGTATCAACCTCACTCGAAAGCAACAGAAGAATTGCTTAAATTTTTTTTTAATGTGAAACCGTATTAATCTGGTTGAGCCTGCTCATACGAGCCGAAGTACGGATCTCGCACGACCAGGCATAATTTAATGTACAACGGTAACCTGTATAAAAAAATATTAGCCAATTTTCATTAAATGTGTAAATTCTTATTTTATGCCTATTTAAATTCACACAGCGGCTTGTGTGTCAGTATGAATTCCACAGAACAGATATATAACTTGACCATACATCGTAATTGACTCGTTTAATCTCTAATTTAATGGTGGTAGCAGATAAAAGGTGACAATGACACAATTCGAGTGGTTGAAATGAATACCACCTTACCCCGCCCGCTGTCTGTTTCGCAATTAATTATTTTATCAATTATGACTGTCTCTAAATTTACAGTATTTGCTATATTTATCAGTTCTTATTGGTATATTTCAGGTAAATTTGTTAAATCAATCCATCTCTTCTACTTGGGCCGTCTTATGCGATTATTTCCAATACTAGCTGCTATGGTGCTTCTTCAAGCATCTGTGGTTAATCACATGTCCGATGGCCCCTACTGGCAGAGTATGGCTATTGAAGTAGAAAATTGTAGAAATTATTGGTGGTCTGCACTACTGCATGTGCAAAATTATGTGAATCCTTTAGATACTGTAAGTTTTCTCTTAACATCTTTTAGCACCGTTTATTGTACAACTTTTGAGTTTATTTTTATAAAAATATTTTATATGACTTAAGTTTAACATTATTTTCAGTGTATACCAAGCAGTTGGTACCTTTCTGTGGATACTCAATTGTATGTATTAAGCCCACTCCTACTATTTTTCCTTTTTGGACAAAAGAGAGTAGCGTGGGCAATGCTGACACTGTTTTTACTTGTTGCTCTGGTCAGCACTTCTTTATTCAGTTTCCTGTACAATTTACCTGCAACGTTAATATCTTTCAGGTTTGTAATACACATAGTCCTGTAATAACAAAAGTAGAACCGTAATTTTACAAAAAAAATTAGTAAAATTTAAATGACAAGCAACCGGTCTTGTGCTGCCCCGCATCCAACGCCTTCCCTCGACCTTCACCAGGTGGTCAGATCACCTTATGGGGGCCTAACCACGCTCCGTCTTACGGTACGCGGTCGCCACCCAAGAACTGTTCAGTGCACTTCAGTTACTTAATGGTAATTTATAATTGGATACCGTTTGTTCGCTTCGTATATTAGTGAAAGCCAAAGTGATAGCACTGTTCGTGAGAAGTAATGCTGTAGTTCGATGCCCTTTCAGATGTTCCACAGTTGTGGCATTCTTTGGCATTATACACGTTTATGTACCAACGACAATGTATTAACTGTTACATTTGTATCAGTTGTAATTTAAATAATTGCTTTTCCAAGGATTATCATCAGCCCTTTCCTGTTAACCCACGCAGAACAAGGCTAATAAAATTAAAGCTTTGAATCAAATTAAATGTTTGCAGTCGACCTAAGGAGTCATTAGATTTCGTCAGATACTACTATGTAAACACGCTAGCCAGGGCACCACCGTTCGTCCTCGGTATGATTTACGGTTACATGTTGTATCTAAACAAAAAGAGAACAGTTAAGATACCGCGGGTGAGTAGTAATTGTACTGTGTTATTATTTCTGTGTGGTGTGTACACGTAAACTTTAGCTTCCTAACAGTCATATTCAGTTAGTCACTGTAAATTACGGGCTTTCATACTGTATTTTCTAATTGAAATAAGCGATTTTAACCTTGAAAATATTAAAAAGCACTAAAAACAATTTGTCTGATTTTTTTTTTCACTTTTTAATATTGTGTCTTCAAAATTAAAATTATTGTAGGTATTAATGTTTTATTTTTATTTCAGATTAATGTGATCCTATTTTGGTTGTTGTCACTTGCTGCGTTGGCCTTCTGCTTCTTTATCCACTATGTCATTGTGCAGTTTGATCACGAAACCCTCACACTTGATAGTTTCCTAAACGCCTACATGCGCTCAATCTGGGCGATTGCACTGGGATGGGTGATCTTCGCTTGCGTTAAGGGCTATGGAGGTACGACAGATTATCGACAATGACGACTTTTTCGCCACTGGTCTCTCTTGTTTCTTGAATGAAGATTGGTTCATACGGAAGTATAAACATGGTGAAACTAACGGTCTAAATTTTAATACACATATTTTTTCTTCCTACTTTCTTTACTCAGCAGCTTTTATAGCCTTAGATAGTCAAAGTTTTCGACTGCAAATTAGATTTAAAAAAAATACCTACACCGTTATAGGTGTAGGTATATATAATTTTTGTAGAATTTCTTCAATTCCTCTAAGTTTCTTTCATCAGATACACACCTCATAACAATGAGACGGATTACACAGTCCTTTTTAAACATAAAAGATTTATTCAAACCGTTCCAACCATCCTTGAATAATGAGACAAACAAAGGGACATTAAAGAACCAAATTTAGTTATTTAAAAGTACTGGCTTGTGAAGTAAACACATGCTTTAGTCTATTCACTGTTTATTATTATTTTATGTACTATGGAATAAATAATACGACGTATAAAATACAATAGTACGGGAATACGGGCAGCAGTGGTAAAAACTGTATTGCAACTATTAACGCCCGCTGCTAAATATTTGTAAACATTATATTGCAATATTCGTTTGTTCCAATACTTTTAAAAGTAGAAATAGTCCAGTCAACAAGGTAGAAAAAACGCGTCAACTCCCGCTCCTGGTCCCAAAAACATGTGCGAAAGCCCACTCGACTCGGAATGACTTCTAAAAAAAGATATCTCGAGCAGCCACCAGCACACAAAAAACTGTTATTAACAAATAAAACTGAAAAAAGGCATTCAGGTCCCCCCGTCAATAAATCAAAAAATATAAATACCCAAAAATCTCCCAAAACAGAATGAACTAATGAGTTCATAATTTGTTTTCGTTTTATTTCTGTACGGTGCTGTTTATGATTTATTAATTCCGTCTACTTTCTTTATTAGGTCCAGTAAACTGGTTTCTATCACTCTCGATGTGGAAATTGCCGTCTCGCATGTCGTACGCTGTATATCTCGTACACCAACCACTCATTTTCATAGTCAACGGCAGCGAGATCTTTCCATTGTTCGTCACCGATGCATTTGCCGTAAGTTTTAACACATTTTTACCTTTTACATTGCAATTTATTAATTTTTATTGATTACACGTTGCTTTAAAAAATGTAACAGCCTACTATCGATATTTTTTCTTTGTTAAGTTTTTGCTATACAGTAGTAACTTCCCGCTGTATTTACATTAGAAAATTTGATTTAAGTGCTCTATACTTTAGCGTTAAATACTACCTTGTACCGGCAGGTACTGACGAATCTTTTCTCGATCCAACTTGAATCTATAAACTGTCAAAATATCAAGGGTATATGACTTTGTTTGACACAAATCAATTAAGTGAGAAGTAGTTGCATGTTTAACAGGCACATGTTGCCATTCCTACCTTTTTTTTTTCCGTGCGGAAATCCCCTCGGATACATGTGGCATGTCGGACTCGAACCGACTAAAACCGCACGCCGTCTCGGGTACTAATAGCCGGGGAACCAGGTATACCCTAGAAAGGAAGTCCCTGGTGCCCCGACATACCTCGGGCCATCTACAACAACAGGTAGACGACCCCCCCCGTGTGGGAACCCCATGTTCCCTCTGCTCCCTGGAAGCGAGCGCGCTTCGCAACGCACGGGGGTGACAGATGGCCTCACCTGTCACCCCCAGGCCTGCGCTTATGGAGGACGGAGGTCGTTCTGCGACCTCCGGCGCCTGAGTCGCCTGCGGTACCTGGCCCGTTCCCGGGCCTGGCGGGCCGGGAGAGTCCTAAATGCCGTTCCTACCTTGTATAACTAATGCTAGCAATAATGCTAATATATTAGTGGGTTAGTGAACAGTGTGGATGGCTAATTTAACCACCAATATTCTTTGGCTACTTAATGTAATTAACACAAATTCTTTATCACTTGCAGATCCAAAGATTCATGAGTATCTTGCTTATGTCATTCCTGTTTGGATTAATTCTTTGTATCGTCATTGATGCTCCGATTGCTAATTTATACAGCTTAGCAACCAAGGGTAAGTTATTACTTTAAGAAGTTATTAAAAAAGTTGTCTATATCCCTGAAAGGGTAGAAACGTAGCCGTGTAATTAAGAACAGCATTTTGGCAAATATAATTTCTCCTCCTCCTCCTCCATTGACTAGACCATTTTTTATGGCATAAGGGCCAAACGAGCAGACGGGTCACCTGATGGTAAGTGACCACCGCTATCTATGGACACCTGCAACTCAAGAGACATAATTACATTGGCTACCGTTGAGTCCCTTGCTCCAAATCAGGGGGAGGTGGGTGCTCTCCTGCAACTTCACTCACTCAGTAAAAACCTTTCAAAGAATTGCTTAAAACCGGTTTTCTGTGGGGCTGTGGTCGAGCTCATTTGTGACGAAGCATGGTTGCCACAAATGGCATGAAAGTTATAAAAAATAAAACTTTTTGATTTTCAGGAGGATATAAGAAGCCACCTCAGACGCCTACTGTTGCAAAACCAGCGGAAGATGATGTTATCGTAAAAAATTCGTAATTAAGGATTTTTGTAAGAAACCGTCTTGATATAAGATTGTTGTACACTGCCATTTCATCAAGATTTTTAGCTGATCACTAGGGAGTTGAGAACGGCATAAAGAATCTTAAAAACATTTTTGTTAACACATACTATATTTAATTTAATAAAACCTAAATATAATACCCTAATAATGTGCCATAAATGTAATTAAAAAAAAACTAAATATGTTTGACTGCATGGATAGCGTAGTGATAAGCAGTTACCTCGCCGCTTCCTACTATACTGAGTGTTGTGGCTTCGATCCCCATATGGAACAACACTTTGTGTGATCCACAAATTGTTGCTCTGTCTGGGTGTGATCCACAAATTGTTGCTCTGTCTGGGTGTGATTTGTGTCCGTTTCATGTATGTTAGTCCCTCACGACACAGGATTTATTCCTAGTGTGGGAGTTATCTTTTCAAAGAATAAAAAAACTTTGTTTTCAACTTTTCCTCAAAGCATCTTGTAATCATTTTGTCTTGTATCATCTGCATTAATAAGACTTACTTGATAGAAATATCCATATTGTTTTGACATTTGCTCCTTGTAGTCATTCTTTTCAAGTCCCCAAAAAACTATAGCATGACTTTTTAATTGTTCTTCACTAAATCTTTTAAAGACTTTTAACCAACTTCACATTCTAGATCACTAACTGAGTGAGACATATACCAAAACCTAACCCGGTTGACTCAGATGATCTAGAAATTGTTATAACACAGCTGGATAATAGTATGTAAATAAATGAAAAAATAAAGAGGCAGTATTTGTTTAAAGATTTTCAAAAAATCCAAACCATATATTTTTATAAACGCCTATTAAAATTATAATTGCAAATTGTTTTTCTTTGGCAGAAGAATACGTCAGATTGTAAGTAGCCGCTATTATCGTTTTGAACACTAAAGGAAACTGCAAAATAGGTACTAATCTGTTTATTATCCACATATAATTTATCTTGTATTGTTGTTTTATAGTACAGTCATATTCCTACTGGGTAATCAGTTTAATAATGCAATATTGGCAATTGGTAAACTGGTGACGGATTAAGAATACAGAGTGTCACCACTCCTATTCATCCAGTGGGTGTCGTAAGAGTCGACTAAGCGAGAAAACTACGCATAACAACAACACTGCAGAGAGAAGGAAAACTTGACACAACCCGTCTGGCCAGCGTGGTATAGTAGGCCAAAACCTCCTTTCTAAGGAGAGGCCTATGTCCAGCAGTAAACTTTTAAAGGCTGTCGATGATGATGATGATGATGGCAAATATGGTATATCTAGTAATTAAATTAAATGCTATAGACGAATCTTTTTATGTTTTAACGGCAATTGGTCTACAATTGAATTGATTTATCTTTTCCTGTTGTTTTATAGTACAGTCATATTCCAATCTGGGTAATCAGTTTAATAATGCATTATTGGCAATTGGTAAATACAATTGAATTCAATTAAATTTAAAGTTAATTACTGATTTTTACTAATTACTGGTAAATATTTGCTGGTATAAATAAGCCAAAGTAGAGCTTCAATTTATATGTTCTTTATGTAAATGATTTGATAGTATGTTGTCTTCTAAATAAATTTTAGGATTCTAAAATTTGGCACCCGTCTAAATCTCATAATGTGTAATAATATTTAAACTTTAAAAGTCTACCAACATATGGCACTTAGAATATGACTACTAGATATAATATTTTATATAGACACGGGTTTAAAATACATATCAAAATCTATATTTGTGTAAGTGTTTATTTAACACTGTCAAAGTAAGTTTAGATTAGATAAAACATCTGTTTAGATTTCTTGCAGCTAAATTAAAATTTGGCAGGTCGCTGGAACTCCTATTTAAATTAAAGTAATAAAAAAACATGTGAAGATCGATAGAAAAATTTACAAAATTCATGGTTCTGCCAATCTTCTAAATAATTTCCAGTAATTGATATAACTAGTTATATTTTCCCTTTTATTAATAACTGTCCGTGGGGTGACGGGTTAAGAAACGGAGTGTCACCACCACTATTCCTGCCGTGGGTGTCGTGGGAGCCGACTAAGGGAGCAAATCACGCAGGAAAACAGCACTAGAAAGAGAAGGTAAACTTGAAACAAACCCTACACCCACTCGTCTGGCCAGTGCAGCGTGTTAATTAAGCCACAATCTCCATACACAAATGAATACAATATAAAGCTAATATTTTCTTAGCAACTTCGCTGGCATGAATGATATTTTTACTATGAAAATTAATACGATAGAATTGTTCTAATTTTTTTATCAAAATAAATAAATGATATAAATTATTATTAACGTGTATATGGCCGTGACAAAACTATAAAGCCTGTTGTAATTTTTATCTCGATTTTTTAAGGATGAAAATTAATTAAATGAAATTAAAATCAAAATCTTCTTTTATTTATAAAAAGACCTCAAGTTCCTAGTGCAATACTCTTTAATTGTTTCCGCCTAAACTATGTAAAAAATTATGTAAAGGGGATTTTGTCACATAAAAGTAGTTTTAACAACCTTATTCATGTGGTAATGGTGGACATTGTGTCCACCAGATATCATCAAAGACCCAACACGAGCCCCGAACACATTAAGGAAGCTCTTTCCAACAATACACGATAAACATAAAGCTACTGAATGTAATGTAATTGGGACAAACTGTGTTCGAGTATGTATAATAGTGCGTGTAAAAGGGTTAAAAATGTTGCCATTAGGCAAACGGAAGTTGACGTAATATCCGGTCATTAGGAATTAGGCTAGGGACACGAAGGTGAAATTGAGAATGTGCCAAATAAAGAGTGTTTAATGTCTCTCCGGAGACTACAAAAATCGTTTAGACGATAAAAATAATTTTCAATTACGTCATATATTTTTTAAATTCTATTTATTTTATCGTAAAAATATTAAAACTTCTTAACGAAGCTGATTCTTTTTGTAAAACTTTTTATTGTAAAGGCCAAAACTTTTGTACATTGAATGTTTAACTTATTATTTTTAATTTTCTTTAAGTAGTGAAAGATTGAAATATTCTTTGATATCATTTATTTATTCAAAATATTATTACAAGAATTTTAATCATTTCCTTTATAGACCAATAGACTTTAGTAGACTACTAATTTACGTAAATGGAAGTATGTGGTACTGGAAATGGTATAATACGAAAATAACTACGGATGTGAAGGGATCTGATTCCCTTCTTTACTCCCTTTCTAAAGTCAAACCAATCATTAAAAAATTGACAAAAGGATTGCATTGATTAACTTGCAATTTTTTCTTTCATGTCATGTTTGAGTCCAAATACCTTTTTTTTTCTGTGCGGAAATCCCCTCGGATACCATCCACCGGTGGTTATGTCGGCTTCGAACCGACCAAAAAAAACAGGCCGTCTCGGGTACCAGTTGCCGAGGAACCGGGTGTTCCCTAGGAATACAATCCCTGATACCCCGACGTACCTAAATGACCCCCACCCCCCTGTGTTTGACCCCTTATGTACCCTTTGTGCTCCCGAAAGGGTGTGCGAGCTCCGCAGCGCGTCTCGCCACCACCCCAGTTCGCAGAAGGAGACGGCGAAGTTCCACGAACTCTCGCTCCGTACCATCGCAGCAATTATGGTACCGAGCGAGATAATTCCCACTCCGATGGCCGCCACGAGGCAACGAGTCCAAGTACCTGGAAACGATTAAACTCTCTGTAAAATTTCTTGACCTGCTTTAGATGTCGTTTGTTACAATTTATTCAATCACAGGCTACAAGGGACCTATCATTCTGTAACGTGAATAAATCTATCCATGCTGATACATTTATTCCTTTCTTACATAATAAATCCTTTGGTAATTTCATTAGAGTTTTTGAAGGGATTTCTAATATAGTTACAAAAATACCTTGTGATTTACTGGTTATATAGTAGGTAGTCGATTTGTGAAATAATTCGGTCGATAAAAACTAAACTTACAAATCATTTTTCTATATTCGTTTATGATCAGAGTTCTTAAAGTTTCAGAAATACTTTAGAGATAAGAGCTTGAAACAATCAAATAATCGATTTATTATAGTACAGATTATATTACATGGTAGACATATAGAATTAGTGTAAATTAAGGGGCAAATTACAGAAGCTTATTCCACTCAAGATTTGGCTAAAATTTCAGAACGGGCTTGAACTTGAGAACTATTTGAGTAATGAAACGTCAATCAAGAAACAACCAAGTACTGTCATACTTGTTAGGTACTTAGGTATTAAACACACATAGAATATAAATACGAGCTTTACTGCCAACTATATTATTATACATATATATATATATTTACTCCTATATAGTTTGATAGGTACTCACATATCGAAAAATATATATTTTAACCACTTTATCAGTCTAGCTTCAGTCTAGATTATCAAGGTACCATCACATTTTGATAATTTTATTAACACATCTGAATATCGTGTTTAAATAATGTTCAGGCATTAACAAGGTGACGAATATAAAAGAGCTAGCTCTGTAAAATGTTAATATTTTTTATAAAAATATTGCTTGAAAAAATAATGAATGCAGTTTAACTAAAATGTCGTTAAGTGACGACAGGGAACGGACGTTAAGACAAAACACAATGGCTGCCCGAAGCGTCGTTTTTGTGTCCACGAACTGACACTGTCCAAACTATCCGTAGTCTCCTGACTTCACCAAGTAATTAGCAAAAATTAGCTTCAAAATCTAGGCTAAAACCACTTGTGATTAGGGATAAAGCATTTTTAATAATAATATAAGAAATATATTTTACTACATTCACACAACGCCATCTAGTCCCAAACTAAGCATAGCTTAGGTACTAGACAACTGATATAAAGACGTCGTAAGTCGAAGTTATCCTTGCTGAGGTAGATATTTTAATTTCCCTGTACTTTCCGATTTCATCATCATGGTCATCAACAACCTTTAATAGTCAACAGCTGGATAAAGGCTTTTCCTTAGAAACGAGGTTTTGGCC